GGGGTGTAATTTCAACTGTGCATTCAGCTGTTTGGCTAAAGCACACATTGATATCATTCTGCTGGTTGCTGCTGGTTGCCACTGCTCATTGTTTCTTCTATTAAAATTCTATATAAATGCTGACATATTAAAGTTATAACACGCTGACATGATAAATATCTCTGTATAATCTGTATATGCTGGATTCCGCACACACTGTATTGGCTGCTGAGTTATTTCAGTGTCCTAGTTTTCTGCAAGTCACAGAGGAGAATCATTAAACTTGAATACATCTTTCATATGCTTTCAGGACAAAGATACTGATTTACATTTACTGCAGCACTGCAACAGGATAAATACATTCAGCTGCAATAAATTCCATACATTAGGAAATTGTCTGACCTGGAAAGATTCCTCATACCCACTATAGACACATACAATCTTTATCACATACAGGCTAAAAACAGAAGTGAATGTTGTGTCTTTTCAGTAATATCTTAGAGATGCATGTACAAGATTGGCTTAATGTTAATAATCTTATTACTGTGTTTGTATCTTTTTTCAAGAACCTTATTTCTATATATACAGTATACTCTCTGTTATCCAGTATTCAACTAACCAGAACTCTCATCTAAGCAGAAAAAAGTCCCCTGTGTAACCAGTGTTCTGCTCATCTGCGTCATGTATTATCCTGGAAACGATTGTGTGCCTATTTGTTATAATTTGCTTCTGATTACTGCATTTAAATATTAATATGAAGTCAATACAGAGTTTATGTTATGGTATGGTATAGTATGGGGTATGGCATTAGTTAGACCTATTTCTAATAGTAAATCTCAAGCAACCAGAAACTACATTTATCCGGAATCTACCAATCCTCGTGGATGCCAGATAACGGGGAGTTTACTAATTAAAAATGTACAAGGGGCAGACATATTTGCTTAATACATTCTCAAGCGCCAATAAAGTAAAAAAATAAATTAAAAAAATAAAATAAATTAAAGTCACACATAAAAAGAAAAAAAAAAACACAAGAAAACAAAGTCCCCAGCCCCACATACACAAACATGCGTCGTGTGCATCTACGTAGGAAAACGACAATTGCGCCCATTACGCGCACATTTTGCAAATCACTGTGAACGTCAGAGTGAGGGGAATAATTCTAGGGCCATTATTTACGGATTACACTAAACTGATGAGCGGTAAAAGCTTTTAATGCGTCGCCTATGGCCCATTTTGGATATGACATTTTTATTGCGATTTTGCAGGCGCACGCAATTTTAAAGCTTGACATGTTTGGTGTCTATTTACCCGACGTTACCCCGTCTTTTATATTTTACAAAAATATGGGTAAGAATAAATGTTTTATAACATAACGTAGAGACAAGTTTTTTTCTCAAAATTACCGTACTTTTTCATTATACAGTACAAAAATAAAAACCCCAGTGGTGACTAAATACCACCAAAAGAAAGCTCTATCTGTCCCCAAAAAATGGTATGACATTTATTTCCGTACAGCGTTGTATGACGGAATAAATGTCAGTCAAAGTACCGCAGCGCTGAAATCTGAAAAGTGGCCTGGCCAGGAAGGGGGTTTAACATCCTGGACTTCAAGTGGTTAAATATCACAGCTGCCTCCTAACTTTTGAATTTTTCAATAGTCTAGTCTTAGAGCTGGAAAAGTATCTGTACTTATACCGAGTACAGTACTTGGTATCTGAACATCCCTACCAAAAACACGCCCTTGATAGACCGGCAAGCACTGCTTCCGCTAAAAACTGTACCTCTCCAGTGCTCTCATAATACACAGATCGGAGGAGGTGGTGTGAGGTGAAAAGGGCACTATCTAACTTGATTTCACTTCCTCCCGGACTGACGAGTAGTGAGGGGAAGTCAGCCGACATCAAAAAAATTGACTCAATTTACAGAACCTCATGGCAGATATTATACATGTAAAAGAGAAACAGAAAAGCAAATGTAAAAACCCAGCAAGTAGAATCCTGTATTAAACTAGCGTTATAAATACCCGCTGTCATTATTTTACTTGTTTTTAACTTAATTCATCATAATGAAAGTTATTCTCAAGGCTTACATTTGCCTACATCCAAAAAATAATCATGTTTTTCAAGTTTACATGTATGTAAAATTACAGAGAAGGGAAAAAAAGATATCCAAGATTACAGTATCCAGCAATTAAACAGAAATACATTTCATTTAATCAAAGCCGAATATGGAAACAATTACTGCTGACATCTCTTATTTCTCTAGTGCAGATGTCATATCTTGAGAATGTGCTTTATTTCAATGCTGCAAGTTGCAGGAAAAGAAAACCAAAAAAAACAAAACAAAAACTATCTCAATCTTTTCTGCTTTATCTAATGTTTTCTTGGTTCAAAGAACATAGTGTGCAGTCCGTGACCATCTAAATGTATTTGTGAGCTAAATATAGAGCACTCATGTCAGATAGCATTAGTTAATAAAAACGAGAGAGAGAATTTTCTGAATAACTGATAACTTCCTGTTTATCTGCCAGTGGCTTTTCACCCATTAAGCTATTTTACACCACAATTACAGCGGAGAGAAGCAAAACTCACTTTCTTAATGGCCCGGCCTGATTATGTTTTAAAGCTTTTAAACACATTCTACATTATTAGACATGAGCAGATGTCAGGTATTTTGCCAAGTGAAGTTTTCATTTTTATTTTTTTTACAATCTTGGCTGCTTATACAATAATAAGCTTTTTCTTAACATGGGAAAAAATTACAGACCCAACTAATTTCCTTGACGGGGAAGAGTTACATGTGTTTTCCACTTGTACTTTTTATGACAAGTTTACAATTCTTCTAAAGCTGGAATTAATCAGGCTATGCTTCGAAACGGTTTCAATAAACCCCCAATGTGCTTTGCTATTCTGAAATATTGTTTATATAAGCTTATGTTCAAAATTGGTTAAACTGGGAAAAACGACATTGCGCAATTCGTGCTCCTCAAACAATCCCCAAGATGTGTATTCTTAGGGCTGATCTTTGCCAAGCGTTAGAATTTCAAACTATGCTCAGCAAAAATGTTTTGCTCCCACTGCCTGTGTGTGTTGAAGGGTCAGCCCATTAAAGATATTTTAGTTATAGATGTAGTTTGGGGGACTGACTCATTCTCTGGCTTTTTATACGTTTAAGGTAATACAACACTGAAGTCTCTGTGCTGTCATTCCTGACTTTGTTCTGGTATACCTAATTTTTAGGTGTTCAGACAATCTCTGCATGTTCCAGCTCCTCCTTTTGCATTCTCCATGATATAAAAACAATTAAAAATTCAATGATGAGAATAGGAACACCTTACAATAACTATGTTCGGTGTGCTGCTCAATCACATACAGTAGATCTCACCAACACCCTAGAGATCCACCAGATATAAAGCTGAACTCCAGGCTAACAGGTAAATACAGCATCTAAATACATATATGGGAGTAGGGATGCACCGATACCGAGTATTTGGGTGAGTACTTTTACCCAAATGCTCCGATACCGGAACTTCCGGTCGGAGTGAGACCTCCCTCTGACTGGCAGTGCCACAAGGGAGCTGGCTTTCCCTGCCAATCAGGAAATCGGACGGCAGGTTATGACCCACCTCCGAACTTCCTGATTGGCTGTGTGACTCGCCGCTCGGCTTCCTGTTTGGTCAGGAAGCCAGACTGCCTCGGAACATGAAGCTGGTGTTCTTTCGATAGAACACCGGCTTCCCAGGCAATCAGGAAGCTAAGCGGCGGGTCATGACGTGCCGCCTGGCTTCCTGAATTGGCAAGGAAGCCAGCTTCACTTGTTGCTAGGCAGCACGTCGTGACCCAATTCTTACAGTAGAACACTTCCCAGGTAATCAGGAAGCCAAGTGGCAGGTCATGACCCGCCGCCTGGCTTTCTGATAATCTGGGCCCACGGATGCCGGTATCAGTATTCAGTATCAGCAACTACCGAAAAAAAATACCAGTACACGATACTGAAAAACCTGTATCTATGCATACCTATATGGGAGCTGTTTTAGCTGCCAAATAATGTGTATTTGTCTTGTTCACCCAGTCCTGAGATTTGCACAGCAAAGCCAGTCTGGTGATCTGATTCTTCTCTAGCTTATGTGCATGCAGGACACCTTTTTGGCTCTTAGTGCTGCCACCCCCCACACTTAGCCAGGATCCCCTTTTATTCACAGAACATTTCTTGTTTGACTGGTCCATAACTGTATTTAAATATTGTGGCAAGATGTCATTATAACTATACATCGGAAAGTTACCTTATTGCCCCGACAGCCTATAGACACAGGCCTTCTGAGCCTGAGAGCAAATCTGGCACTGATGTTCCCTCTGAAAAATTGGTCAGATCAGGGACAGGACTTAAATGTATTTTGGGAATCTGAAAGGTGAGAGGTATGCATAGTTGACACAGCTGACCAGCAGATTGCCGTTTCACAGGTTTTAAATGCCCTCCTGTGTGGCCCTTACAATAGTGGTGCAATCTGTTTATTTTTACTAATGTGCCACCAGAAAGTGCCAGAACCTAGTGATCCAGACAGTGGCATATGTATATAATATGAATAAATACAATTTATTGTGTCAAGTGCTGAAATACAAGCTGCATCACTCTCCCAGCTAGTAATAGGAAATAATATTTTTTACTTAGGGAAGGCAAATCATCACATCTGATCCCAAAACTGCCAGCTGTGCAACAAGGTATCAGACTACTACTACTGAGTACACAGTCATTAATATTTATACTTTTTTATTGTGCAGAAATGGAAGTACAAAACTAGACTAAACACTTACCGTTTCATATCCTCCCAGTTTTTGAGCAGCTTGAAACATAGTCCAAAGGTTAACTGTTAGAAGGACAATAAGTATTTAGATAAGCATTAACCAGCGCACTTCAAACAAAATGACAAATTATTATTTTTTTATTCACAATATACAAGCATGGTATACAATGGTGTGGAAAAACTATAGTTAGGCAGGTTACATCTATTAAATATAATATCTACACATATACATAGTTATATAGTTTTTACATAAAGAGCACACACAATACTGTGTGTACATGAGATTTAGATAAGCGCAAAAAATAGAAAAAGATGTAGATACTACAGGGTACACTAGCTTATTATTCCTATGAAGTCTATAGTATGCATTCTAATAAGCATGATAAAAGTTTAACTTTAAGTTTAAAACCATTACCCAATTACACTGTTATTAAATATAAACTGATTAAAATGGATTACTATATAAAAAAAAAAAAATTAAATAATACGCGCTTACATTCTCAATGTAAGCAGACATGTGGCCATTTCTAGTGATGTACATTTCTGGGGTATTTTGACAGCATATATGTGTACACAGAAATATTGATTTCAACCCTGATCAAGAGTTATATTCATTCATGAAAAACAAAAATTTAGAGCATGTGTATTTATTCCGGGGAGGACATACCATGTGTACAGACTGTGCCACTGTACATGGGCCCTTTAGTGCTTAATGACCCGATTGATATTAGCTGCCAGATTGATACTAAGATGGAATTCTATAAGGCACCATTCACACTTGCAAATGTGGCCAAATCGCATGAGTCTCATATATTCCTCCGTGGGACTTATGTGGACGGGAGGCACTGCACAATACAATGATGGCTGTCACCATTCGCAAGATGCAGATGACCACACATGGATGCAAACTGTTTGACAAAAGGAATTTGTGAGACACATTTGATTTGCTCCATTTGCAAATGTGAATGGGGCCTACAGGGCTCACTTCTACCTAGCTGTGAATCCGTATACAGTGATTTAAGCTTTAGCTGCTCTTGGAAGCACAATAATTGATGTCACAAAAGGTCCTTTGGTGGCTCCAACCGCCACTGAATTCACAGATATAAACACTCCAGAAAGCATATGGAACTAAAGGAGTTTTGAGATACATTTTTATTGAAGTAGTCTTCAAGCACACAACTTTCTGTTTTGTAACTTCACTGAACAACACTGTAAGCAGCCTTTAGCAAGCATCCGTAAAATGACTAATCGCATACAATAGGTTTGCATCTGATTCATTCATATAAATAATAATATAAATAAACTGACATTAAAGCCAATTTTTTTCCCCTCCCCACAATGTTAAGTAAAACACTTAGCCTTAAATGATGTCTCTTAATCCGATTTTGCTCTTCTTTCCTGTCCTTTACAGACTTCTCTCCGATACAGCGATGACTCCTGTGTGCTTGCTGGCACTTCCTGTCCCACGGTGTCTGCATGCAGGTGCACGCGTCCATAGACTTACCTTGCGTCTCTCCTTGTCTCCCGGCTGAAAATCCGAACTGCGCATGCGCCACCCCAAGATGCTTTGCGGCCACCCGAGCTGTTTCGGATCTTCGGACGGGAGCGCGTGGCGAAGACAGCAGTTAGTTTAAACTGCTTTCAAAGTGTTTTTTTTTTTTAACTTGCTAGCAGTAGATATATGCAAAAAAAGCTGGAGGGTTTAGAAACCCTTTAAACATGTCAAGAAACATTTACATTGTAATTTAGGACTAACATTGACTAGACTGCTGCTGGTTTTATGACTTTAATAAAGACCTGAGTGAATAGTGATTTGACATTCCTTAAAATAAATGCATACAAAAAGAGAATTTTGTATCCCTTAAACTGCTCCAAAATACTCTCAGGCATTATATCATGCACATGTGAGTCTTAGACAAAACATAACCCCTTTGACAGTGTGATTAGTAGAGTATTTTCATATCTGCTCATTTATTGCCTCTTTGTAGAGACAAAAGCACCGTGTCATGTTTTTATTGTCTAAAATATGATCTGCTGCCAAAGTTCACCATGAAATATTACCCTTGGTCAAGTAAAAACACAATAAAGGTTCACTATTTGGTGTCATGTATAAACTGGAAAACCAGCCAATATCCAATTATATTTAAACTGAAATAAAAACAATATTAACCCCTTCGTGACTGACGACGTACAGTGTACGTCGCCAGCATCGGGGCTGTTTAAACAGACTCCCGGCGACTTTTGCCGCCGGGACTCTGTTTAAAGACCATAAGGGATGCACACTGCACTGCAGTGCAAACTGGCCTATTTGTAAATTTCTACTTAACTAACTCTGTCTTACAGAGGTGGATACAGAAGAGCTGAAATACCTGCCTGTCTTTGGAGAACACTACTCCGATCTTCCATCTAGGCTGGTCATGTGATCAGAATTCTAGGCATTTGGCCATGTGATCAAAGCTGAAGGGGAGGATACAAGATCAGTCGCATCAGAGATCCTAGACTCCTGGTCCTGTAACCTGGAGCTCCGTTTTCTTAACAAAAAAGTTATTTTAGCCTTTTGCTACTTTTTATTTATCTATTCCAACAAGACGGCTAAAGAAGGTTAAAGGAATACTTTCCTGAGAGAAATATAAGGACTGCTAGCCTACTTCTAAAATGCTAGTTACTTGTTTGTTATGCTGACCTAACTTGTTTCAAAACTTTCTCATTTACTGATCTGCAACACCTAGCGAGATCATGAAATTCACTGAAAAATCAATGTCCTTATCTGCATGCTTGTTCTGGATCAAGGACCCAAAGTATTGAAACAAGATGATCAGCACCTAGACAACTAGCTTTTCCAGATGGAGAGTTTGGCAAAGCCAGTCTACACACGAATAGTTAACTTTTAGCATAGGTCCAATTGAATTCTACTACATTACTAAAATACAGCATGCAAAGGCAGATGTGCCAGTCACTGAAGATTTAAAGGTCCTTAAGTACATCAACTTAAAAGAATACATTGGAACAAGTTTTTCTTTGCACATGACTTGTCAGGTTACTTTAACAAACACCATATTTACATTGGCGCTCACCCATTTGATCTGCAGATGAATGAAACAGAATATATACAAAAGTAACAATGTTGCTTTTTATCTCTATCTCATGTCTGAACAGTGTTTATAAACACTGTCACGAGGACCATTTTTTGACAACAGCAGCTGTAATAGCTGATGTATTTACCCAGCAATCCCCACCTAGACAGCCAGGAATTGCTGGAAAAAAGTGAGGGAGGGACAGCAATGGGGAAGAAGGACAGGGAGTACTGCGCACAACCTGTGTACTTTGATTACGTTTTTTTTGAATGAAGGAGTGAACTGTAAAAGTCTATGGGGGTGATTTACTAACCTAAACACACGCACGCACTAGGTGCGTGTGATTTTTACACAGCAAAATGTATTTATCAACCAAAAAGTTTCTAAAAGCATATTTCCACTAATGCCATATATGGAAAAATCATGCACATGATGCATATATAATGCTGCTTCACAGTTTAGACAAAAATGGTTAGCTCATGCATTTACATTCCTGCATTCATCAACGCAAGCAACACAATGTAGAGCTAATTTACACAACATCACCTTGCAATTCATGCAGGGCTTTGCTCAACACACCTGCTGGGTGTGTACACACTACAAAGGTGTCTAGATTCCACCAATAGATCATGCTGGGAGGGAACACACTACAGAGGTGTATACTTGTTCGTGGCGTGTTTATAAGGTTAGTAAATCAACCCCTATATCTCAGTTTTTACATCACACAGGAGCATGGGATAACAAGCAACATACACTGTGGGAGTTAGGTGACTGAGATGTGAAAAATACAAGGTGAGACTTTCCTCTCTCAGAGTTGCACATAATGATTATGAAAGTGTTCAGTTACTAAAGTAGAGGGATCATATGTACTACACACAGTCGGGGGAATTCAAAGAGAGTTTTGTTGAGACATATAATAAAAGTGTCCCAGGGTTACAGGAAGAGAGTCATTATTTGCACCAAATTCATGTACAAGGCTGCAACGCATTCATGAATTAGGTGCACACCTATGAAACTGGTGCTGGCTTGGCAGACAAACTTTGGGACAGATGTCCAATGCGTCACAAATGTGTCTAAGACAAATTTCCGTTGGATGAAGACTAAAGTACATAGAAATGTCTTATCTGTGCCCAAGGTGTCACCTATGTGCCTGAGACAGATTTCAATTGCCACCTGAAGTATGTGACGCATACTGTGACAGACATACTGTATAGAGTATGAACGTGTGACAAACTAGCTTCCTTTGCATCACTTTTCTCATTACCGAACTGTCAGAGTTCATTTACTGAATTTGATAAGGTCACCAGCACACCAAGGTCCACTTCATCGATCCACCTTTTATTGGCGTTTAGATAAGGTGTCGCATTGTTTTGCCTGATGAAGGGACTGCATGTGGTTCCGAAATGTTGCATTTGCTTGCGACACCATGTTTATCTAAACATCAATAAAAGACGGATCAATGAAGTGGACCTTGGTGTGCTGGTGACCTCTTTATCTCCTTTAGTCTTACGGCGCCATCCATGGCCATTTCAGCACCCACTTTAGCTTCACATGACGATACGTTGGTTTGGAGTGCATTGGGATACCTCTGAATATTTATTGAATATGTCGCAAGCACAGCGCCAGAATAAAATATGGAGCAAATAAGAACTACTGGAATTTGGTGCAGGAGTCGGTAGAGCTCCGGAAAATGGCGCAGCATGTTTTTGAATTTGGTGGAGACATTTCTTAGGCTGCATTCATTCCAGAATTCTGGCACACATTTAACATTGAATTAGCCTGAGTGCCTTTAAATCAACTGAAACATGCCCACTAGAATCTCTACATCTGTTACGGTACAGTATATGAGTAATACACTAGGGGCTTATTCTATGATGGTGATGTAATCCAACCATATGTCCAAGCAAGGCTTTAGAATGCAATGTGCTGAAAGTTGTAACCAGCTACAACAGAGCAGTGACATAGACACAAGGTGGTAGGAGAGAAATAACTGTGACCTGTTTCCCCTGACCTGCTTTTTTTTTAGCAATAAAACCCAATATATTAATGGACAGCTTGGTAGCCTGGGTTAGAGCTTTTAAAACTCCAGACAGATATAAAAGATACAAATAAATACACCTTTGTTTTAGTTAGTAAAACATTACATGTATTTAATGCAACTAGTTTAGCATTAATTTTAATTTATATCAGCCTCTTTCAATCAATCACTATACCGCAGTACTCACATTAGGAGAGGAAGAAGAAACTCTAGGGGGTTGATTTACTAACCTTATAAACACACCACGAACATGTATACACCTCTGTAGTGTGTTCCCTCCCAGCATGATCTATGGGTGGAATCTAAACACCTTTGTAGTGTGTACACACCCAGCAGGTGTGTTGTGCCAAGCCTTGCATGAATTGCAAGGTGATGTTGTGTAAATTAGCTCTATGTTGTGTTGCTTGCGTTGATGAATGCAGGAATGTAAATGCATGAGCTAACCATTTTTGTCTAAACTGTGAAGCAGCATTATATATGCATCATGTGCATGCTTTTTCCATATATGGCATTAGTGGAAATATGCTTTTAGAGACTTTTTGGTTGGTAAATACGTTTTGCTGTGTGAAAATCACACGCACCTGGTGCGTGCGTGTGTTTAGGTTAGTAAATCACCCCCCAGGTGTCAATCAGGTGTGCTGCTTGTAAATGTGCCGACAAGGAACATGCTGATAGGAGCAGTGTGTGTGTATTAAGGTGGAGTTTAGCATTAAGCAAAGTGTAGAATAAGATAAAGCTTTCAAGCCAGCCTACCATTATCTGTTCAAATAGGAGGTCTTTTAAAATTGCCTGCAGCAGTACCGAGTAAGCCATAGACAGCATGATTAACATCCAATACTCTAGAAACTGCAGGAAACAAGTTGGGAAAGCTGCTTTAGCATCCAAGAGAAAGCCGCCATAACAAGCCACATGCACCCTCATGCAAGTCTAAAGAGGTATACAATTATGTACAGCTATTGGTACCCTTGTAGAACCAGCCCCCTATAATCCAGTTACAAGACACAGATCCTAATCCACTTCCTACATACATATGGTTTAGTTTGTTTGCTTGGCTTGCAATAAAACCCATCAAATTAAAAGCAGCTCTACAGCAGAGGATTTAAGACCTGTTTGTTTAATAGTCTTTTGTTTATGAGAAGTTCTGGAAAATTAAAATTAGAAAAACAATTTTGAAAGCCTGGCAGAATCTTCCAGTGTTTTTTTTTTCCCAGAGCCATTAACAGATTTGCCGAGGTCTTGATTTAATCTAAATCAATGCATAATGTAACAAAGCTGTTCGGAGCACATTCATTGCTCTTCGATTTCAAGCAGCCCGTTTGGAGACAAACATTGTAATCATCTGCAGTTATTCAAGTTTATCATAGCTGCCAGAGCTCGGCAGCAGTCAGTGCCAATTAGGTATGTAAATTGTTATGTAAAACATGCAAGGGTGACATTCCTCATAAAAATAACACATGGTTTCATCGGAGGGAAAATATCCTCAGTGTATATTGCACATTCAGGGAAAGGGAGAAGGCACTTGTGTTGCTGAACAAAGTGCTGCTTTGTTATGTACCTTCATGTATGAATCATTCTTTCCATTCCCTGGACAGACATGCTATTCAGCATGTCATTACAAGAGTTTCCTTCACTAGTAATATGGAGATTCACACTACTCAGCCTCATGAACAGTGAAGTTCCCCATTTAACACTGCAAATAACAATGCAAAGAGAGTAACCCATATCCGCCAGTCGGTAAGTTTTTATTTTTATGACCGATCTTATCTGATGGAAGGTGTTATTTGACTGCTTGCCAATTGTTTTTGCAAATCATCACTATTTATGTATATGACAAGATGATCATTCGCATATGTGAAGATGCATGGGGCATGACAAAGCTAAATTCGGGTCAGCATTGATGTACTTTTGGACAAATCAGAACTACTTCTCTCCCCCATACAACTCTACGGTAATGCAAAAGCAGCTTGGAGCAGGTCAGAAGGAGGTTAACTGCAGGTCAAATACACCTATCAAAGTTAGATTTTGAACTATATAGAAAAGCCATGCACAGCCAAGTGTCACAGGTTAATCATCCAAGACCCAAATAGTGAGGCTCTCAATGAGTTTATTAAATTACAACTTCAGGCAACATTTTTCTAAAAACCTTCAATACATGCCAGACATTCCCATCCCCAATTCCACATACAACCAAGGTTGAGTTTTATGCAGAATGACAATTTGGTGATATTGTTCAGTATTCATATTCCAAATGAACATATTTAAGTTATAGGTTTAGTTTACTTTTGAATGTAATAGACGTATTTTAAAGCTGTACTTACTTTGCTTAAAGCCTAAATATGGTATCCTTTCAATGGGAGTTTTCCTCTCTTTCATGTACTTGTATAGTGCTACAAGAAATGCTTGCTCATCAGCTTTGCATTCTTCATTCTTACATCCATCTTCCACAGGGGACTTTGGTTTTTCCTCAATAGGGATTTTTTTGCAGTTGCCGTTGGCTGTCCTGGCTTTTGGTAAGCTTGTCTTTACTTCACATTTTACCTGGAAGAGTTACACACATGATGTGACTCACATCTGATATTATCTTTTGCTAATATTACAGGCAAAAATTTGACTTCTGTCATACCAATGTCATTGTCACATGTTTTTTGAAGTGAGATGCATGCTATGCAAAAAAATAATAATAACCCAATGACCTGGCATATATAAACAACACCGTTTAATACAGTCATGTATTATTTAAAATCATTAAATGTGTTTTTCATCATGTAATTGCCTGTACATTGGCACTTAGATTTTAAAAGGGGCAGAATTAGGAGCATGTCAGTTGTGCTGCATCCACATGTAGCACAACATGCTGACATGAAGAGGCAGCAAAGTGAGTAGAAAGATGTGCTTTTCAGTAAGCTCCTGCTTTTGCATTGTCCAATCATAGGGAGCTTAACTGCAAAAAAGAAAAGTCACCAACCAGGCTAAGACTATATGCACAGAAATGTATATCCCTTGGTACTTTGAGTTCAGTTTTAAAGTACACCCGTCATGATATAAATATGGAGACTGCCTTGCTGGCCTGCATCTAGAAATGCCGTCTGGCTTCAATACCAAGCAGCAGACCCAAACGAGTATGCAGCAAATTAAAGTCATATTTAAAAAAAAACAAAAAACAGAACTCCTCATCTCACTCATTCCAGGTCAGTGACTCACAAGCATTAAAGCCAATCAAATGCATGATAGGCATGCAACTAGTTTTTTGGAAAATTGGCACTGCAATGGCTGTCTATACATTTTTCCTATGACGGGTTTCCTATACTGCAAGACATTAGATGGCAGCAGATCAAATGACAAAAATCTGCAGTCACCCAGTCATGACCTTAAGACACTTTCACTGCTATTATATTCCTTAGTGATTGCAAGACAAACATACCACAGACCTTTATTTCACTTGCACACCACACCGTTCAACTGCTGGAAACAAAGACAATACCCAGTATCTCTGGATATGGAGGAGCACATGACTCACTCCATGTGAAGGTTCAGGACCAATTATGGAGAAGCATGCAACTTACTCCATGTGGCAGTTCAGGACCAATCACAAAGCACCAGCGCTGTCACATGGGAAGAGTCCAAAGCCCTGTATAAATTATGACTTGAGTGATGTGTAGCATACACAGTCCAACCGGAAGTAGAGGGATTTTGGGTATGTAGTACTGGGGAACAGGGGGGTTTCAAAGTGAACCGGTTTTGCCCTCCATGGGCAAAAAAACAAGATGAACTAAAAGAAAATGAAGGATAACGTACAGCTTTTTCTAATCTATCTGCATACTTTGGAGAGGTCATCCTTATTCTTGCATCACTCATTAGGCCATCATTGACCCAGGATGATAATGTGCCTACATCTTATGCACATGCTTTCTCCAGCTAAATGACTAACCAAGTAGTGAATAAAAGATCAGGACGACAGCCCCTAAACATGCACCTTTAAAAAAAAAAAGAAAAGCAAGCAACGGCATCTCCCATATTTGTATCCACTTGCATAAGGTTAGAGACCAAGTCAGAAAATATAATCAATTATAAATAATCAAGAAAAACAAGTTGGTGTTGTGAAATTTTCTAACTATATTCACAAGGAAATAAAAGTAAAAAATGTGGGAGCATATCACAACTGAAGATATATGAAATAACGATGGCATTATGAAGAGCAGAGTTATGGGATCCAGGCACCATTTCTGACTGATTTTTATTCATCTAGTTTTTAACAAGTTAAGGCAGACTCTGAAAATAATATTTCTTTACAAAAAAAAAAAACCATACACTGAGTGATGTTAAAAAAAGGATGTTAAAAATACTTGTAAGCTTTTACCAAAGTTGGTAGCAGTTACATGCTGGTCGAATGGGCCTAGGGATATTGATCACTTGAGCATTGCAGGAGGAGGGAAGATTTTTAAGGATTTCTAGAGTAATATGTTTTTTTTTTAATTAGTTTCAGCTTTCATTTATTTTATTTAACAGTTGCTTAGGAGGAATATTTTTCTGAAGGAATATTTTTTAGTTATACAGTTGTGGGCTAGTTTGCTGGTACTGTTACAGCTCTTTGTAACAATGCTGCATTCTACCTGAAAATTGAGTTGGCCAGCTAAAGCTTGGCCAAAATTGGGTCAGGCAACAGCTGAAAAAAGAAAAGAATCAGGTTGTTGCCCAGTAAAAGTCAAGACCTCAACCCGATAGAAATGCTGTGGCGGAAAGAGAGCTGTGCATAAACAAATGCCCACACGCCTCAATGAACTGAAACAACGTTGTAAAAAAGAGTGGGCCAAAATTCCTCCACAATGATGTGAGAGACTAATAAAGCCATGCCGAAAACAATTACTTCAAGTTATTGCTGTGAAAGGTGGTTCTACAAGTTATTGAATCAAAGTGTACTTTGTTTTTCACGCATGGCTTCTCCATTTTGGCTTTAGGTGTGTAAAATAAAGAATGACAAGGTGTAATATGTCATGTGTTTATCTGAGGCTGTATTTACCCAATTCTAAGACCTGCTGAGGACCAGATGATTTATATTATGTCCTGATACCTAAAACCATAGAATTCAAAGAGGGTGTACTTTCTTTTTCACATGACTGTATACCCGCATGTTTTTGGTATGTCATACAGTAAAGCAAAGAAAGTGTGAAAAGATATACAGTATATTAATGCTTATTCTACAAAGATTTTCTTTAATGCCTGGACCGACTTGTTGATACATTTCCCATACATCACTACGGCACAAAGCAGTGGCGTTTTAATCAGAGGATGGAACCACAGTGTGCAGCGGGGGGGGACACAGATCGCTGACACAGGCCACTGACATATATACCTCTTTTACAGCAGAAAACTGCTGTTAAGGTTTTGTTTTTTTGGCGACTGACAAGGTCACTTTAAGTAAATAAAGGTTATACCGTATGGATGCTGACTACTGTGAATATGACATTTTTCAAAATTCTCTTTCCAGCAATCCCAGCTGCTGGTAAGCCCTCCTTGCTATAATCATAATAAAGGCATTACATCCTATATTAAAGTGCATGTCCAAGCAAACAGATTAAATACATATTGCATTCATTTTTTATATTATATGTATTTTAGGTATACTCATTATTCACTTTTTTTCTTTTTCATTACAATATAAGTTCGGCTATTTTATTGTTAAACAATGGGGTATACGTTTATACATATGTAAATAATTTTCCCTCCAACCTCTCCGCTCAGAAAGAAACATGGAGAAACACCATGGTTCTATGCTGCCTTCCTTACTGTCTAAGCCAATTTTGCTGTTCGCAAGGCAAATGATCTTTGACGAATGTTAACACTAAAAAGCAGCAGAAAGACAGCTGACACCGAATAACTCCTCTCTGTATGCTTAAAAATTCCTCTAAGTTCTCTGTATCAACTATGGGAAGGTATATATAGCTCTCTAGAACTAGCATTGCAACGCACTGTAACAGCCTTTTATGCAGGAACACAGGAGAGCACTAAGAATTATGCTTTTTATATGGGGAAAAAAAATGTGAACCTGATAGTGACTTCGTCCACAGAGAAATCTGTTCCCTTGTCTTTCTGTTCTATATTCTTGGCTATGATAAAGGCTACAAATGTTGCTTCTGATTTTATTGGACTGACCTAAAGAACCTCCCAATTTGACACCACCCATTACATTAAAAGCACAATAGTGAGGCCCAAGGGTGGGAAAGGTGAGATTTAGGGTTGCTTGTGCTGGGGCCCAAGGTTGGGTGGGGTAAGGCCAAGCTGCTTTACAGGAAGAGTCAAGGTTTGCATGCAACTTCAAATGCCTATATCTACAGATTGGTATTATGTGCAAGTAACCTCTGCCTATGCATTCTTTTCATCCCATCCTCAGTTTGAATAGCCAAAGTGTGTTAGAGGTGTACTTTAACAATGCCCAGACAATGACTGCTTAAAGATTTCATACTGTGAATCAGGAAAATTTCATATAAGCTTTAAAATGTTCATGCCATTGTAAAATACATTTCTATTATTTTGAAATCTGCAGATTTCAATAAAACATCTGCTGATCATACTTGTGAAGGATGAAAATGAGTAAATGCAAGTATTTTAAAATAAATGGGAATTATTCATGGTGCAAGTATTTTAAAATACAATGGGAATTATACATGGTACAGTGTGCTTTAGCAAAATAAAGGTCATTCAGTTAGGGTTTACATCTACTTTAATCACTTGCCATCTGGCTGATTGTAAAAAAGAAGGCAGAACAGCTAACCCACAATGGCGGGTGGCCATTTTTAAACATACTTTCCCGCTGTCCGCTCGTGTGTGCCCCCATGTGTGTGCATGAGCAGAAAACCCTTCACATTGTGTACAGCCAGCAATGGCTGTTGCATGCAAGTGTTCGAACGGCTATAGAGCTGCCCAATCGCTTGTATGGTGCTGGGGAGTGTGTCCTCCCCTCTGCTGCCGGCTATCCCAGGTTCCGTTGTCCTCCGTGCGGGCCCGGGACTGACACAGCGGGTCTCTGTGATTGGATCAAAGAGATGAGCAACCTTTTATTGGCTGATCTCTATTCCAATTACATTTCTACAGCTGCTGTAGCTGAAGAACCTGGTGAAGCAGATCTCTGTTTTATCAGTTTCATTGGGGTCCCTAGGTGACATTAGGGGTCTAATAGACCCCGATGTCTCCATAAAGAGGACCTGTCACTGTATATGTGTTATCACATGGGGGGCTTGTTAGCCCCCTATGTGATAGCAATAAAGTTAAGTGTGCAAAAATAAAAAATTAAAGTCGCATATTAAAAAATACATGCATATAAAAAAGCAAAAAAAATATTTAAGTACCCCAACCTCACATACAAGTCCACACAAACAAACGTGTGTCGGGTGCACCCATGTGTGAAAACGACAATTGTGCCACACATGTTACATGTCACCACGTATAGGGTACGAACAATAATTCTAGGGCCATTAATCACAATAGATAAGCTGTACAAGCTTTTAAAGCGTCACATATGGGCAATTTTGGGTATGGTAGTTTTTTGCAACTTCATGGGTGCATGCCATTCTAAAACTTGACATGTTTTGTATCTATTTACATGACACAACCTCATTTTTTATATTTTACAAAAAAATTAGGTAATCATAAAATGTTTCATAAAACATAGGAAAACTGTTTTTTTCCAACATTTTCGATAATTTTTCTTCATATAGTAAAAAATTAAAAACACAATGGTGATTAATTCCACCAAAAGAAAGCTCTATCTGTCCCAGATGGCGCCCTCTTATGCTCAAACAGTTAACATCATCATTCTGCTAATGGCAAAACTCCTGGCAAATTCCTGTCTCAGAGTGATGATGCAAACACCAGCTCACTAACCCCCAGCTAGTCCATTCAGTCTCTGCCCTTGCTTTTGTTTTGATCAACCAAGTGTGCTGCTGTTGTTCCTGATTTCTTTGTATGACCTTGGCTTTGCCTGACTGATCTCCTGGTACCCGATTCCAGCTTTGTTTCCATTCATCCTGCTCCCAGTGTTCCATGACCTGATTCAGCTGACTACCTGCTGTGGCTTCTGACTACTGGCTTGGCACTGATGATGTCTTGGACTTTCTCCATTGTTTTTGTATTTATGCTTATTGTTGTTTTCAATAAACCTGAACTTTAAGTTTCTGTCTGGTTTCCTGACACTGGACAGCAAGGGGGTTTAACACCCTGATCTTCAAGTGCTAAAGGTAAAGCCAATAAGGCACCAGTCTTATGCCACACACAGGAAAACCAACTTAGTTCTGCTTTCCTAGTAAGTTGATTACAGAGATCCCTTCTAGACTGGCATTTCTGCTATTTGCCAGAAGGATGGGGCGTCTGACAGAGTTTGTAGACTACTGATTGTTTGCAACTATTCAGCTAAATTGAGCATTGGTATAAGAAAACAGTTGGGCCCCATTAGAGGTAAAATCAGTCATAGTTACCCGAAGGCTTTTGTTTTGCCTTCCTCTGTGCTAAATGATTGAAGTGTGGGGCAGGTTCAACTTACTGGACATTTGTCTTGTTGCTCAATTTAGATATCTAACTGTGTAACCATATTACTAACTTGGCAGTGATAACAATAGCCTTAATTATTACAACAGAAAGCTCTGTCTTGTTTATTCATTTCACTCTATTTACAGGAAAGTTATTTTACAATAAAGTTAATATTTCACCAGGAACCAGCTAACACTACATGACATGAATGCAAGAACATTGTCCTACTTTTCTTCTCCTTCCTCTAGTCAACATTAGTCCTGTCTCAAACTAACACTGCATTTTTACAAGGAGGAAAAAAAACAAAAAATAAAACCACCACAACATTTTCTTCATGCCAAAAATAGCCATCTCCATCTGAGACACAGAAACAATAAACATTCAAGAAGCAGCAGAAATGAAAGCAAGCTTTTAAAAGATTACCTTGGCAACAGTTTTGCCCTCGCAAATATTAGAGGCATCTTTTACTCCATTTACAGAATCTCTCCTTTGAGGGCATTGCTTCTTTTTACGGGGTCTGCCTTTAAGGTTTGGTGCTGAAAGGAAAACATAAATCCATTATAATCAGGCGAAAGTGACAGAAATCTTTGGTTATCGCATTAAATAAGTTGTGTATTAATTTCAGCACTTGCCAAGTTACGCAGTTTAAAAAAAAAATCAGTTTCCCTTACAGCACAGTGTCACAGTGTCAGCTAAATAATAATCATAATAACACCAGTAATCTGATTTCTAGATATAGCATTCCTAATTAGATTTGATTTGCCAAAAATCAGGACAATTACCCAACTACAAAATATGGTTGCATGAAAGGCCTAGCCCACCTAAACGTTGTATTGAAGTTTATCCTTAAGTGACTGTTGCAGTGAGACCACTAGACTTTCTTGTTTTGTACTCCAATATGGCTATTACAAAGCCAATGAAGATGCTAAACTTTTATTATACAAAAAAAAAACAGAGAGGCCAGCACTGATACTATGCCACTCTACTAATGAATACAGAAACAACAATGAGCAGAACTTGTTGGCAAAGGCTGGCAATTAACCCCGCCAGGTCCCCCGAAACACAAAATATCATAAGTGTCTAATACAGGATTACTATTTTTCTAGTCAACTCATGAAACTGCTGGATTATAATTTATAGTAAAGTGTTTTCAAATACTATAAAAAAAATTAAGCTACAAGTTGCCAATTCCAAAATCAAAAATAATGACTACTATGAACACTTAAAGTGACACTAAACTCAGGAGTTAAATCCTAAAAATGCATTCAAGTACCTTAACTATTAACAAACATGTATCTTATTTGTGTATCACTCTGCTGTAGATCCTCAAATCATCTCTAAATTGGTTCCGACACTGTCCTTCCTTCTGGAGGGTGGCTACTTTTGTTCCCCATGGTCCCTGTGTGTGTTGTAAAGTAGCCACCGCTCCAAGCTCAAAATAGTAAACTAAATGTAAGGTTGTAGTCCATCATGGGAGTGAACTTGGAGTGGTGGCTACTTGAATGCATTTTTAAAGTTTAACTCCTGTGTTTTGAGTCATTGTAAAGTGCAACAGTCATCTGCATCTGTATGCTTGTTCTAGATCAATAATTCAGAAAGTATTGAAGCCAAAATATCAATATGGCAGTTAAGCAAGTACTATTTTCTGGAGGAGAGGTCAGCAATGGCAGCCTGCATGCATATCTCATGACAAACTTTGTTTTAGGAGAATTCCACTAATTCTGACTCACTGGAGGATGTGCAGCTAGTGAAGTGTACTATATGAACTACATGCCCTTATTATTTTTCAATACAAAAAAATTCTGCCATAATCTGCACTATACTCCATATGCCCCCCTCAGTAAGCTCCACTGATTAACACTAAATGGACATAAAAGTTCAATTAAGGGAAGGAGAATTGTTTCAAATGAACAGGGGCCCAAATAATATATAAACAATGGTAAATCTATTTACAAAACTAGCATTCTTTGTTAAGTTACCACTACTTTTAATTATGCAATGAATCCCCAAAAGTGCCAAAATCTAGTACCCAAATTTAAAGGGAGTCCTTACACAGGTGTGAAGATCTGACATTTACACACATGCTCTCCTGCACTGCAACTGACAGCAGTCAGCGAGTCTCCATTAATCTCTATGATGAACAGGGGTTACTACAAGGCAAACTGCTTACTGGCACAAGCCTACAAATATGCGGGCCTGAAAACCAGTTCTGTGTACATAACATGTAGTTCCTGTGCATATCAAACTGACCTATAGAGGTTGATTTACTAGGCAAATAGGCTGTTTACTTTGCAAGAAAATTTGTACTTTGCAGGGACAATTTCCCTTAGCTTGGTGAATGTGGTGAAGTTTCACTTTATAAAGAATACCCAATCGCGTGCATTGAAAAACAAAACAGTATATTGGCTTGCACATGATCGGGTGATAGAAGTCAGCACCGTATTCACCAAGCTAAAAGAAAACTTCCACTGCAAATTCCCATGCAAAGTGAACAGCCCATTTCCCTTAAGTAAATCAACCCCAAAGGTTATAAGTCCTTTTCAGTCAGTCATTCAAGTGCTATGACTTCACTAATTAGTGATTCATTGACTTGAAACAAGCAGCCAGTATGTCAAAAGCCTTAGTTTGGCCGCTTACATATTTTTGTGATGACAGGTTTACTTTTAATGCTTGTATGTATATGTTTTTTGAATGTGTGGTACAATTACGGGATTAAAAAATATGTCAGGTGAAAAAAAAATGTATCATGATGAATTATAGTTACTATGAACAGTTCACTAATATTGTCCTTTCTGGTACTTGTCCTATCATAGCAATTAAAGAACAGTAAGCCTTGTATCAGAAGCTTGAATACAAGCACTACCTTATAATGTAAACTGAGCTGACTCATTGCTGACATTTTTAAGTGACTAATCATTTACTAGAAATACGTAGACTTTCAATAACTGGTGTTTGTTTATGAGCTTCTAAACTTTCTTCTAAATCATTTATACTAAGAAAATATATTAATGACTATTCAAAGGTTTCCAACTAACTGTACAATGGATATCATTAACAAAGGGGTTTAACAAATCAAGATCCTTGATGTAATATAGTATGTAAACCTCTACAATAATTACATCTTCAAAGGACAGCTGGAGCCAGCTTTTCCCCATCAATACAGTTGTTGTTCAAAAGTAATTTGCATCAATTAAATGTCCTACAAATATTATACTTGGAGGGAAGTACCTACAAATATTACTGCTTCTCTTCTTAAATGCAGGCATCTCAACAAATGTCACTACAAGGGCACACCATACAATCATGAAACAATTGACAAATGATCCTTTAGTAATAACTAAAGGTCAGCCAGCATCTTTAACATTAACTATGGTTGCGAGTCTGCCATAAGAAAACCACTGTGCTAGTAGTGTTTATAAACAGTAACTATGGTGGAAACTAGGGTTGCACAGATACCAAGTACAGTACTCGGTATAAGTACGAGTGCATGTACCGATACTTTTGAGCTCCAAGACTACACTAGAGAAAAATTAAAAAATGAGGAGGCAGCTGTCATTTGTAAGGAGCACACGGAGCTCCTGGGATTTGTACATCTCTGTTTTAATGTACGATTTTGTTTTTTAAAATATAAATAAAGGGATGCACAGATACCAGTTTTGCGAGTACGAGTACTGGTACTTGCCGAGTACCTACAAGTACGAGTACTGATACATTTTTGTGTATTGTCATGTGACAGTTTTTCTAAAACAATACAGACTAATGATTTCAGGACAGTGGTGGAGTGCCAGAGCCAGGTTCCTGCTGCAACCGCTGGCAACCCTGATAGTTCTCATAAAAATGCCAAGTATCGGCACTAGTACTCGAAAAGTATCTGTGCATCCCTAGTGGAAACCACTGCCCAACAAAAACAATAAAGATCAGTCTCTTCTGGGCTTGTTAAAAGGCCCCTGGATGTTCTGCAGCACTCCTCGAACAATGTTCTTCAGATGAGACAAAAAAGGAACTTTCTGGTAAATGTACACAACATTATATAAAAAAATAAAAACAAAAGAAAATAATGTATACCAGCACAAAAACATAAAACATGTTTTGCTGCCTTGCCTTGGGACCCAAATGCCTTTGCAATCAGGGGGAAAAATTGATGACATAATTGGTGTCTGTGATCTATAACATTAATGTTGGGCTATAAAACATGACCAAAAAAAAAAAAAAGATCAGAATAATAAAGCCCAATTTCAAAACACAAACCAAAACTTTTTATTTTAGGTTTTTGATAGGATGAAACCTCTGCCAGTGCCTTTCTGCAGAAGTTAGACATCAATAAATTATAAATAAACTGAATCAGCTTCACATTCAGCAACATGTATATATATATCACCTAACTGTTGGTGCTTTTGTGATCAACAACAGAAAGAATTTGGCAGATTGCTAATAAAGAGAATTGAAGTAGTTACTAAACATACTGTAAAAGTTCACAAACATTTTCCGACAACAAGGTCAATAACAAATGCATTGTTTTCTTAAATAAGACCTTCTTTGTTATGGATGACTTTTATAAAAATTGTAATTTAGGAGACATTTATGACAAAATCCAGAAAAAAAAATTGATCACTTTTTTTTACCAACTGTACCTAAAGTATGAGTCATTCAAGCAAGTTCTCTTCAGGGGATTTCAATAAAGGGCCAACTTTAGATGCTGACACACCAACTCTGTTCACAATTGCTGCAACACTGGACTGCTTCCGCTCACTTCATTCATAAGTCTGCCTAGTGTGACAATGCCCCAGCCCAGTTTTACCGATAACAAATTTGACTTTATAAACAGCATTAGTTTCCATGGGTAAATTGAAGCACTGTGTGCACCTGCATGGACTATATCTAGCACTGAGCTTACCAAAAATAACGTGATATATTATTAAACAAAGTCTAAATTTAACTCTACGAAAGCATTAATGATGTGCTCTGCTGCTTTCAACTTAGGTCAAATGGCTTAGAAGTGCCAATAATGAGGGCTTTGTTATGTGCCATCCCTCTCACTAGAAAAGGGGGGGGGGGGCACAGAGCAGTCATAGTGTCAGTGTATTAGAAGCTGCTATAGGGGCAGGTTAGGGAAAGTTGACAAACAGCATAAGGAAAGATTAGGGTCAGACACCATTGTTTCAGGGATAGAGATGTTCACAGTGTTCCCACAGGTAGTTATTAACACTTTAAAATTTCCATTTGGTCACAGAAACTAACTTCAAGGCTGCCTTCAAACATATGTAATTCTTTACCCCAACCTGTCCGTCTGTCACCCACCTTGACTGCCTTTAGGCATTCCCTAAAGACTTATCTCTTCAGGGAAGCCTATCCCACCTCAACCTAACCGCTCAATCATCATGCTCTCAAACAATTCATCCCCACACAGCTCGCTCCTCATGTATCACTTCCCCCTCCCTTTTAGATTGTAAGCCCTCAGGGGCAGGGCCCTCCTTACCATTTTGTCTTGATTTGTATTGTGATTGTAATGTCTTCCTTATATTGTAAAGCGCTGCGC